TTGATAACAGAAAATTGCTCTTCAGACTTCTTCTTTCTCCTCCTTTAATTTACAACTGACATTGTATCAGAGCACTTTCTTTTCCTAGCTTTATCCCATAGTGCTAGACAACATTGTGATGCACTTGGTTAACCCCAGTCTGATCGACTGCATTACACATTTCTGCAGCTGCTGTAGAGGAGTCACAGGTGATCTATATAGTTTAAGAATAAAAATATGTGTGGGTTTCTATTGCAGTAATGTCCGTGAATTGAAGGCCATATACATTCTATACATGGGGAGAAATGACAGTGAGAATTGCAAGACAAAAATTCAAGGGGGTAAGTACTAATGGGTAGTCTGCCAATAAAGAAAACAAGGAGGTAGAAATTGTGGAAGGCTTGATGAAAGCAAAAGTTAGAGGGAATATCAGAACATTTCAATGTTGTATCTCCAACAATGTTGAAATTAAAAAGCTGTTCAAACGATTATTGCTTGAGCTTTTTGTGGAAGGACAGCGACTAGGGCTTGTGAAATAAGTTGATAATTGAATTGAAACAAGTTGATAATAATATGAGTGAGATGAGTTGATTGATTGAATTGAATCAATCGATCATGAGTTGAACATTGAATCGATAATGAGTTGATGAGTGAATATATCATAAGTTGAGCATTGAATCGATCATAAGTTGATTGAATTGAACCAAAAAGAAATGACGAGGGAATCGAATAAAAAGGAACAGTGGATGGCGGAAAGGGGTGTTGAGTGGGTGAAGTTGGAGTTGATTGAAGTTTGAGTGGGTGAGGTCTGGTGAGGTTGATTGATCGAGTTGAGGGGCAAAAGTACTTTTGGTCTCAAAGACAGCCTCAAGGCTGCTTTTGAAATTGGAAGAACTTTTGACCAAAAGTGCTTTTTGGTTTTGGTGTAGCTTTTGACCAAAAGCCACTTTTGGGTTTCAGCCGAACGGGCCCCTATAACTTTGTCAAAGCTGCCTCAAAACGCTTGATTTTAAGTGCATTAGAAAGCTGAACTCTTCCTCTCAAACTTTCATAAGATCAAGAACTATGTAGCTAGTATGACAAGCATTCTATGGGTCTGTATGTACAACTGTATAAAAAGAATGATATCTTTTTAGCAGACCAGCATGCTGTGTGGTCCTATTACAAACTATTTGGAGGACAATTCCAGCTTACCAATGCAACCAGAATTGAGCGTTTTGGACCGGAATTGAAAAATTTATGAGTATTTTCAGAAATCAAAAGTTTCTCTAAACACTAATGAGCCAAATTTCAGTGCTTGTTACTGGTTGTAATTGGATGATTGTGAAGGTTTATTGTTAGTACACTTATCAATATGGACTGTAAAAATACCGAAAAATATGCAGAGTGAAGTTCTCAACGCAGGGAACAAGATGCATATTTTTATTCATTTTTTGCTCTCCTCCTGGCCTCTCAATATTTTTGTGTATCAATAATTTAATTTTCTGCCCAGAAAATATTATCTTTCTTGTAGTGCAGGTAGGCGCTCTGTCACCAGTGCCTACAAAGTGTAGACGCTGGTTTTTGGTGTCTATTCTCCTAGCTCACTTTTATGTGAACATGCTATTATTTCAATATGTGTGATATGTTATCACTGATGATTATCCAGTGAGGTCAACCCTTGTGTGCCAACTTAACTAAGTCCCTCTGTGGCCCAGACACTTTTTCCTTGCAAGCTCGGGTGTCTGGAGAGGGACTTATGACTTATCGGGCTTCCCTGGTGAGCCAGCAGGGGGTTCAAAATTCAAGTTTGGCTTGGAGGTTTTTTCAAACCGCAAAAGCTCCCACTTCCTCTCAATCAACCCCCTTGCCCATTTGAACTGGAGCTACCTGTGCCCTGTGAGCCTACTAGCGTCTGTTAGGCTAGTAGAGTCAATAGAAAGGTTGTAGAAAGTCTGATAACTTCTACTAAAGTTGTGTAGATCAAGATCTACAAGTGTGAACGGGTATAGACGTGGGCGTAAGAGCTTTACTTGCAATAAACAAGTAAAGACTGCAGTTAGTTGACCTTTAAACAAAGGCTTTAGCCCAGGGATTTTGGGTTAATTATTGTCTTTACAATAATTAAAAAGAAGAGCAACTGACGCGCAGTTCTCAATCCTAATTTGATCCTCTTCTATTCTAAGAAAGGTCAAAGAAGGTGGTGTTAAGGTCTATTATAACACCGGGAACTTTACACTCTGACTAATAGAGATTTCCCCGTAGATTTAGAGTTTCTTATATCAGATGAATCCCAAATCTGATATGAGCAATACTCAAGGACTACTTCCTTACAAGTAATTCCACCAAATGGATATTACCAGAAATACTGATTATGGAGTCTAATCAGAAACAAAGTTGAATGAGCACACAGAATAAGCAACAAGACACAAGGTTTGAGTTTCAAGGTTCGTAGAATCAGGCCTTTAAAGTTTGGTTATTGAAAAGCAAAGTTTAAAGGTTCTAGGAAGATGAATAAAAGCAAAGTTGTGTAGTTGTTGAATAATAATGTGATGATGTTCCCCTTCTCAATTTGGTTGGACTTCCAGGGTTTATATAGTGTGAACCTTGGAAATCTTTGGACTACAAGTGCGCACAAATTGTGGTTCTATGGTTAGGTTAATTACAGTAAGACAGTTACTATTGGATTATAAGTATATTTCACTTGTTACATATGTGTTACGGCTGTGAAATATATGTAGCTTTGGTTTGTATCAAAGTTATGTATGTTCACACCCTTTGATGTAAGTTCTGCACATGTTACATATGCTAAATCATATGTAACTTGACTCTTGAAACTGAGCCTTGAGTTGTGATTGCTATTTTTAAGGTTTTTATTATAATACGTCGCCCATTGGTACTCTGGTTTAGTACTCAGGGCTGACAGCCCATTCTCATCAGATCTGTCTATTCAGATTTGACATGTCTCGCTCTGAGTTTTCTCAAGAAAGACAGAAAGATTTTGAGATTTGTGGTTTGGTGACTGTATTTTGGAAACAAAATTTAAAAAGGACCTAAATCATTTCTCTTGCAATAGGATTAATAATTGAGCAGTGAACTTCGTTCAAAAACTGAGGTTGTTTGTCTAAATGTTCTGAAGATTTTGCTCTCCTCAGAAAATCTATATTGTATCAACTACAGAAGATACCAGGCTGTAGAAGAGCAGGGCCTTTTTGGGTCCCTGCTGGTACACCAAAAGTAGCTGATAAGTCCCAAGTCCCTCTCCAGGGCACCAAGCTTGCAAAGGTAAGAAAGCCCCTGCGAGTTTGGGACTTGTGTTAAGTTAGCCTTGTGTGACTGTACCATACACTCATTAGAGTTTGAACTCTGTCTCACCCATGTGACACTGTTGAAGAGTCAAGACATCATTACAGATATAGACATATTCTTATGAAAGTCAGACTCAATTAAACTTCCTATATCTTTCAAATTCACCTTGCACACTTCTGGCTCTCTAGGTAATCTTGACTGATTGCATGATTCATATCCTGTTGAGGCAGAAATTAAACTTATATTAATTGGTTCTAGACATCAGCCAAATCCTTGATTGGATTCCGTTCCCTCATCCCGTAACCTGTGCCCGTACATCCCGTAACCCATGCCCATACATCCTGTAACCCATGCCGATACATCCTGTAAAGCTATTGTAGTGAGGACTTATATAGAAGTCCTTTACAACCCACTGCATGAATGTGACCTCAACAATCTTTGATGCAGTTTTTAATTTTCATTCCTTAGTTCAATCACCCCTAAAAAGAACTGTGGCTTGTATGTCCTGCTCTGAAAATCCTTTGATGTATTGTCAAAATGCATCAAACATCCATCTTCCTGCCTTCCGTATACTGCTCTCAGATGTACCTAAGCTTGCAAAGGACACTATTACAAGTCCAATCCGTGAAACTCTAACTACACATGTCACACATTAGAGACTATCTTGTACACACGTCATCAGCTAGTTGTAGTCTCTTTTCCTTCATCTGACAATCTATCATTGAGCCTGGATAAGACTATCAGAACCTATCTCCTCCATCACCAAGAACCCCAAGACAGTGCCATAACATATTGTCGGATCTATAACTGGAGATTGAGGAAAAAACAAAGAGCTTCACGAGTGGGAGTCTTTAATCTGAAGAGATTAGGGATCAGATATCAGTCTATGATGGACTGATGTTTGATCGAAAAGAAACCACAATCTGAGGAAAGCAAAAGATTGTAGGAAACTTGATAATGAGTTTGATTTCAATAATAGAACTACTTTAGAGAGAAACAACTACTAACACCTGAAGAGATTAGGGATCAGATATCAGTCTATGATGGACTGATGCACCTGTGTGTACTTAAACCTACCAAGTGTATTGGATGATACACATAAGTGTATCATCCAATGTAGTCCGCTTGTAAGCATGTAGATTTTCCTAGATACATAGTTGCTTCTTGGGTAACCTCAAAATAATTACAAGTCCCCATTCCCCAAGGGGGGGGCCTTGTACCCGTCAAGCACCCAACAAAATGATCACGAGTGTATCACAATATCTCACTACTATACAAAAATCATCACGACTACACCATCAAAACTCACTACTATACAAAAATCATCACAACTACACCATCAAAACTCACTACTATACAAAAATCATCACGAGTACAAAGCTTAATCTCACGACTCAACATCAGGAGTAACAAGCGTGATATTCCATCTTACTACCTAACAGATCATCTCACGCCTATACCTTCCCATTTCACTACCGTACAACCAAACTTACGATCTGGTGAACCTCTCACTACCTGACAACTAATATCACGACCACATCTCCCCAACCCACCACCATACAACGAAACGCAGCAAACGTACAGTCTAACCACACCACAGCACCTTGCTTCAACGAACCCTACTTACCTCTTCTTCATCCCATTCGACTCTGTCAGTCTCTTCACATCCTCTCAACACCCATTCAAACCCTCCTCACATCACCATCTCCAAATACTGCCGGCCTTACTCAGCCATGTTGCGATCAGGAAATACAAGAAATCCACTTCCGCCTGCATCATCAACCAAATCGGATGATTCAGACCACAGCCACACCACCACCCAACGTCGAAAGACAAAAACACGCAGTCCTCGAGTTTCAAAAGGAGTCATCGGTCCCTCTGCACCTTCTGCACCTCAACCTAGACACAACAACAAGCGACCTCGCCTCGCGGACGAAGACGAAGACGAAGATCAGCCTCAATCAACCAGCCCCCACGCACTGACCCCCAACCTGTCGAATTATCGCCAGCTAGGCCTTCAATGGGGACAAGTCTATGCTGACGAAAGGCTTGCAACACTTGGCGTCCCCAAAACCAATCGGCCATCGGCGAGCGGAGTTTTTGAAGCTCAGTCCCTTCAAAACCAATACAACCTGCATAAGACTATGCTTTGCATAGCATTAAAATGTAGCCGCAAGGTGATGGATGAAGTTCTGTAAGTTCCAACAGCAAATACCCCTTCTACAAGCTCCAAATATATGTATTTATGATGCTTTCCTTCCATTGACAGGTTGGAAGGGCCCCTGGCTCGCGAGCCCAATATGTATACTAACTACCAGACATATAGTGTCACAGCCACCAAAACCACCAGTATGCTTTTTATTTATCTGATTTTGCGGTTATCAATTTACACTCACTGACTCATACTTTTCATTCACCATCTAAAGTGCCAGGCAAAGCTGTCTCCGATGGTTTTGGAGAACAAAACACTACGGTTGGTACAACTTGGTCCACATACAACAAAGACAAACAAGCTGTCTTCACCCCAAGGCTCTTTGAACCCTTGTGTATAGCAACCAGCGAGGCCTATTCCCTTACCCAAACTCCAATGGGGATCCCCGCTGCCCCTTTGCTCAAAGAAGAAGCACCTACTGCGGTCACTTCAAGTACACCATCTCAACCCGGTCTCACCCCCCTCAGCAAGGAAGAGCTAGAACAATACGTGCCAATATTCAAGCGCCTGGTCAACCTTCACAAAGTATCACTCGACATACATGAAGGACGTCTCTGGAGGCATTGTGGAAAATCAAAAAACCAATCTTTGGAAAAGCTTCGAATGCATGAAATTAGTAAAGTAGTTCATCAGGTATGTTCGTTTCTTTCTGAGACTTGGCTGGTTACCCGCAGACTCACCTCTCTCGCGTGACAATACAGCTCCACCTCCTGAAAAACCACTTCAACCTGCATTTCCACCTTTTGCTAGGATGTTGGACCCCCGGATTACCTATTAAGCGAGCGCTTTTCCAGGACGAGTACAGCTCTTCTCCAAGGTGGGTCCGGATGCAGCAAAAGACTCATGTCTTGGAATGTTTCACTTTTGAAGTAACGAAGGCTCCAGAACACCTTCGCCAGAAGAAAAATGAACCCAAGCCGCTATCCGCTGCTGCTGCACGTCAATCACAATTACGAGCTGATCTTGCTCTTGAGCTCAACAATCTGATTGGTAAGCACCAACATCTCAGTTTCATTCAAATAATAGCCTAAGTTCCAACCTTTAGCTGATTGCAATCTTAAAAAAGCCCCCCACCTACGAGGAGGCTATACCGGGAGGGGTGATGCACACCCCAAAGTTTCCGACCTGCAAGAAGCTTTCAAGAAGAAAGAATTTCGTGGTTCAGTATTCCTCACATTCAAGCGTGCGGAAGGTAGCCAAGTTACCGACCTGATGCTGGAGAAAGGGCCTAGCTCTTTGACAAACAATGAAGTCGAACTATGGCTCGAGGATATCAGATCAAATAAATACACAATCGTGAAAGTCGACAAAGAAACAAAGAAAAGGAAAGAACCAATCTCAGCCCCCCCTGCGAATAGTCATGTGGAGAACAACTCACCTAAAAACAATGCGCCAAGACCCGACTCAGTTGCGGAACTCAACTTGGCAGATTTGGAAGAAAGTCACAAGTGATAAATAGCTTCATGTAGTTGACCGTTCAGACTTGTAGCTTTTCAACTCTTCAGCTCGAAAAAAGCTTTCACCATGTTTTTTTTCCTTTGGTCTCTTTTGGTTGTATGCCTGCTATGCCTTCGTATTTGTATCTCTCGATAATGTCATCATTTCTCATTATATACAACTTTCTATTGCCCGTACTTCCTAAAGATGAGTCCAAGAGATACTGAACCGTGAACATGAGTTTTTTTTTCTTACTGTACCAATCTCGTATAGACCCTCCTTACCATCCCATAGTTCGTTTGAATCTGAGAATGACCATTCTCAAAAGCCTTGCTACGCACTCACATACAACAAACAGTTCACTTAGTTTATCCGTTAACCAAAAAGCAATGGTATCACATAATGATACATTTTGTCCAAACAGACCCTGATCTAGATCGTCTGTTTTGTCCAAACAAACCCTGATCTAGATTGGCTGATTTTACAATATGCTAATCGGGTCTTTTGCCCCCGATGGCACACCGTCACAAATCAATTTTGAACTTCGGTTTGGGAACTGAACTCAAGTACTATCTTTTGATATTGATGAAAATATCAATAATAAATATTCTTTGCACTGGAACATGAAGAAGTTATGAGAGGAAAAATTCGTTTGTAATTCCAATTGAAAAACAAATCGAGTGAGCAAAGAAGCTTATGATAAATCATAAAAACATTTCAAATGTATTGATTGTGAATGAAATGTTTCAAAGAAAACTGAAATCACTACCATTTTGAGAGATAGTAAATAGATTTGGAAAATAGAGGACTTGAACATCTCAAACACCACGAATTAAATAAACCCCCTATCTGATCATCTTAAGACATATGAATGAGAGATAAAAAAGAGGACATCCTCTATCACCTAGTAAATCTAGTTCTTCCACACCTTACCATTGGATCCTAACAGATCCAGGCAATCCAATACTTTACGGTCACATTTTGAACAATAGTTGTATTGTTTCTTAGTTCCTAACTTTGCCGCGGCCCGTGCCATGCTGGATGTGATTTGAGAAGAACACCCCAAGCGTGTATAGTGTGTCTTTTGACCATCTGGTCCTACGATCTCGTTCTCTAAGGAAGGAAGAGTCTGGTGAAACGTACTCTTCCCACTCCAAGAGATCTGGACGACGTACTTTGCCCCAAAGTTGAAGGCAATTCTGTACTCTGGAAATAGAAAGAACCCGCCTACTAGAATGAATCCTTCAGCCATGGTAACGATTTTACGACTAGCTGAGTCCATCGGGTACCACACACAGTAAACTTTTCCTTTATCGTTATCGGTATGAGGCATATTGAAAAAATTATGGAAAGTAAAGGCAAAGTTGCCGGCGAAGTCGTAAGGGCCTGGTTCTTGATGCTTCGATACCGCAGTCATTGGAGGGGCTTTGAGCGCCTTGAGCTGGCTTCTAGAGGTGAAGAATGCATTATCCGCAAACGCCTCGTAGCGTGATCCGAAGTCCTTGCCAAAGATTGGTAGTTCATTGAGGAATACTTCGTAGAGTGACCGAGACGCCTTTTCACAAGGGATGTAGGGCGAATATAAAATATCACGTTTAAATCCAGCACGCTGTCCCAAACAGAACATCTTCCCATGGATCAGAGCCCCGTTAGTCGTGACTTGCACTTTGCGTTTTTCTTGAAGTGAATGTGTAGCCTTCTTTGATTTAGATTTAGATGGCTTCAACTCGCCCGCTTTCAAGGTTTCGAGATGCCTGAGAGGAGTATCAAGTCCTACGATTGAAGTTTGTCTATGTTCCAAGATACTTTGTAATTTATGATCAAGCAGTTTGGTGGGTAGCCCATTGGTTATCCTAACCTTTGGTCGAGTAGTCGCGTCTGGCTCCTCCACATCCAATGTTGGGTAGGATGTTAGAGGTGAGTCATCCTCCGCATCTGATGGAGGAAGACTTGTCAGAGGTGAGTCTTCACCCCCATTCGAATAAGTCCGGTAAGCTGAGAGGAGGTCATCTAGGGTGGTCGGTACCTGGTGCACAGTTGAAGGTCTTAAGTTAGATGCAGATTTGCATGAGCTTGCCGTCAATCTCGGTTGTTGGGTATGTGAATCATCGGTAGGTTCAACCTCGTGCAAGGAGCTAGGCGTTTCAGGAGGTAACGGTTGGTCATGTGGAGGAACGCATGGGGACTTTGAGATTGATACTCGACTCAGATTGCCTTGATTAGTTGCTGACGTCGAGCTTTTGGGGGTTGGCATGCGCAGGAATAAGTCGGTTGCCATCATTATTGTATCAACATCTCTCTGATGTACATTGCGGATTTCGGGTTTCATTTTCTCCAGGTCATCGTATTGAAATGTACATATAAGTTTTTTTGACGATCTATCTATGAACTGGCCATGGCCGTGGTCATAAATGAAATACAGGTTTTTGACTATATCCATTGTCCTCTCGTAGTCATTGATGGGCAAGACTGGATCATCAAACCTTCGAAACTCTCGTTTGAACGTTTTGTCCTCCTTCTTGCTTTCACACGCCGCAGAGATATCGGTCCGGCGTTCCTGGGTTGCCTTAGTTGCCCGAGTAACATGCCGTCTGAGAGGAATCAAATGGCCATACGCAATATGTCAGTACATTCTTCTTCAATCCATAAGGACGAATCGCATTACAACTTACGGTTTTCTCGCTCGGCGCACTTTGCCAGGTATAGGAAATATAGTAGGCTCCCTGCCCACCTCTAGGTCGTAGAGTGATGGTAATGAAGCCGGAGCTCTTTTCCTATCAACAAAATGATAGCCTGTTAATATTTGTTATAAAACATACACCTGAGAAGAAATTACGTACACATCGTGGTCATGATCCATCAAGCCAACAAACACATCCTCATCTAGTTTGCATTTCACTTCGCTACGAGGCACTATTATCAGGAAAAACTGAGATCTTCAAAGGACAGTGGGATACCTTACCCCTCCTTATTTTGTTCCAGCTTTCGCAGCGTGTCGACTAGCTCAGGTGCTTTCATATCTGCCTTGGTACCCACTTCCCTGTCAGCGTTTAAGAACGGTAAATACCAGTCAAATCAAAAAAACCCCCTTGACACGGAGAATACAAAACCATTGAAATGAATAGGAACAGCTTAGGCTTACCTCATCAACCGTTTTTCCACGTCCAGTAGGTGGAGTTCTTCCAATTCTTTATTGGCTGCTGCTTCCCTATATTGATAACCGGTCAGTTCATCCGTTATGGACTCTGCGAAGGCCATAATCGAATGGTTCTCACTTTGCAATCCGCGCCTTATATTCCTTCGCCATCTGGCCAGACCCAAACTGCTGATATTCCGGGTGAAGCCAATTTCCCCCCAGAGGGAAACCGTCCTTGCCCAGTAACTCCTGAGGTACCTCAGCAAAAGATTTAGGAACTCGGAAAGAAGGCGGAAGCTACAGTGCGTTGCAGTGCAATCGTTAGATTTCACTCAGCAATCACGGCTTACGATTCGTTATGGTTTTATACTTACATCGTCCTCATTATAACCCATCTGCCTTTTGCTATCAATCGGTTTTAGAAGATCCGATAGATATCTTACTCCAGGAATAGCGTTACCTACTGGCTGTATACTGCAAAATGGAAGTGGAGTGAGTTGGATTTTGTCAATATCAAACGTGGAAGGTATAGTGGAAGGTATAGTTGGCTAACACTTCATCTTTGTATTTCTCCCGTTTGCGTTCAGCCCATCCCAGTTCCACGTCAGTCGGCATACTGTAACCCTGTACTTTTACATAACCAGATGAAGTCCCATTCGAAAATCAGTTCTGACTACGGTTAGGTTTTAGAAAGATGAGATGCTCTGATCTGACTGCAGGCCTAAGACCAGGCGAAGTAAGATTTTGAATCAGTTAGAGCCAGGAGGCAAGAGGATAGTGATAGTGAATTTGGTGGGGCATGTATTTCAAGTTGTGCAAAGGCTATCTATGCCATGCACACCACCTCCTTCACATCACTCTCCTCTTGAACCCTGACTTCTTCACCTTGGCTTTGAAAACGAATGGAATGATTACTTACGCTCTTACCTAGTTCGACTTACCCAATGATCGAATTTGGTCGAATTGCCTAGGTACACTTCAACTACGATGATTGTAACAGTATGTCAGTTGAAAACTTGCAATATCGATTGTATATCTGTGGAGGTAAAGGAAATAACTAACAATCACGAGGCAATCAGTGGCTGTTTGGTCCGTTTCGGTTGATGAATTTAATTAAGAAAGGTTGCAGGGCCTTTCGATCACGTTGATCAGCGGTCTATATCATAACAACAAGTTAGTTTCCACCGTTCCGAATGGCTGTGAGTAGTAGGAGAATCTTGCTTACCTGCTATGCCGATTTGAATCAAATGTGATTAAAAAGTCAGATACTAATATGAATATCCGGTGTACCTTTGATGAATGGGATGCGTTCGAGTGACAATAGAGTCTCGCTCGAGAGACAACAGAGTTTCGACTAGAGATTTGATGAAGAATGCCACTTGGGCTTTGACGAACTGAGTGGAAGTCAAATAGCGAAAACTGACTGTGTCTTTTGGTCACATGGGGGAGAAACAGTGACATGCCATGTGTTATATGTGAGTTTGTTTGCATGTCACTGTAAATCGCGTGTTCATACATGTGAACACGCCAATAATTTAGTTGACACTTGCACCTGAAACCTCCACCTGTCACAAAACGGGAACATAACTTGTACCTTGCAATGCAGTTTTCAGGTTGAAGCAGTGGTGCTACGTGAAAAGTTCCATAATGAAAGTTGTTCAGCATGGAGAAATACACATAAAATCAGGAGGATGACATGAAATTGGGTCATCTTCAAAGACTTCAAATCATATTTGTGCAACTTTGGGGTGAAAGACTTGACTTTTGCAGCTTGAATGGCAGTTTTCAGTTTGAAGAAGTGGTGCTACGTGAAAAGGTCCATAATGAAAGTTGTTCGGCATGGAGAAATACACATAAAGTCAGGAGGATGACATGAAATTGGGTCATCTTCAAAGACATCAAGTCATATTTGT